CCATGAGGCAATGCTGTTGTTTGTTGCCACAGCAGAACTGAACACCAGCAAAGACCTCTCTTCAACTTCCCTATCCCCGGATTCCACAGGACCCAATAGTGTCAATCTCCCAGGTAAAAACCGAGCCTCTAAAAGATCACTTAGAACAGAATAAGTACTCTGGACAGTGGTTGAATTGAAATCTTCCCCAGTGTGTATCCTAACTGAGGAAGTAACAGTCAGTACGTAAGTAATTACTGAGAAAAGAATTAAATTAGAACCAAGATTTTAATCTGATCCTAAAGTCTTTAAAAATCTAACAGATGTGCAAAGCACAGATAAAAACAAAATAAAATGGATTTACAAAAGAGGACGCTACATACTGATATTCAGGAGAAGAAAGGTTCCCCCGTACACTATTGATTACAATGCAAGGAAGAACAATATCCATTTTATCCTATGTGGCTTCCAACTCCTCAGATATCTTTCTTGTAATAACATAACCTTACTTTATGGGACAACACACAAAACAAAAATACTACATTCTAATCATCAACCTATAAAGAATAATAGATCATTTTTTTCCATGGTTGCCCAAACTAAGGCATTTAATACTCCTTGCTCCTATTTCTATCTCATACCAAAAACTTCCTTTAAGAAAGGTTTGGTATTACCAAAATGGCTTATGAGTAGAGAAACTAAATCACAGGCATCAACATCTCGTAAGTCATGGTCTGCCCAGACCTACTGACAAGCAAAATTATACTTCATCCCTCATTCTGGGCTGCCCAAAGAGGTACCGATGGGCCAGCTCTTCACTGGACCTAGGTTCACCTACACAACCCTGTGTAAATTTTTTTTTTTTTTTTTTTTTTTTTGAGGCAGAGTCTCGCTCTGTCACACAGGCTGGAGTGCAGTGGCCAGATCTCGGCTCACTGCAAGCTCCGCCTCCCGAGTGTACGCCATTCTCCTGCCTCAGCCTCCGGAGTAGCTGGGACTACAGGCGCCCGCCACCTCGCCCGGCTAGTTTTTTGTATTTCTTAGTAGAGACGGGGTTTCACAGTGTTAGCCAGGATGGTCTCGATCTCCGGACCTCGTGATCCGCCCGTCTCGGCCTCCCAAAGTGCTGGGATTACAGGCTTGAGCCACCGCGCCCGGCTCCTGTGTAAATTTTTTTAAAGGCATATAAACCTCTAACATGGATATCTTCATAGCAGGTGCATGGAGGTGGTTTTGTTCTCAGAAGAAAAACCAATATATTTGCAATCATGAATTTATATTCATTTATATTTCTGAGATAGTAGAAGAGTTCCCTAAAATTATATAGGCAAAAGACCACAATCCAAAAAAAGTATGCAATAATATATAATAATAACAATAGGTAATGAGCTGTCATGTATTATGGATGAGGGGAAGATAACTCACACTGCACACATGCGTGCATACACATATGCACACATGGAGAGACAGTTCAAACCTAAAATAAATGTTTAGGGAAGCAGCGTGATGCGGTCTAAAGAGAAAGTCCTTTGGATTCATCTGTGTTTAAATCCTGCCTCCTGCTCAAGCTCTATGCCTCAAGTTCATTTTCAATAAAATGGAAATAGTCATAATCACATCATAGGACTGTCACGAAGATTAATTAAGACAGAACATACAATAAGGCTTAGCCCAGTGCCTGTTGCATGAAAGACAATAAACTTCAGCTACCTTCTCCTTCCCCTCCCTTATGTGTTTCTGAAGGCTTTTTATTTTACTGACTTAAATGGGAATTCTTACAGCAGTTTAAAAAAAAAACAGTTCCTACACATTATATAGTCATTTACACATATGTATCTGTTGCAGCACCATAATTTGCAAAGAAAAACGAAGTAGTAATTTTAAAAGAAAAGTACCAGCTCACTTGCACTGCCTTTTCAAACCTTCAGCTTTACAGTCGACAGAGACTATTTGCTCTAGGGGTGCAGATTCTGAAATAAAGGAAAAAATTCTCATGGGAAAAATGGTTCTCAAAAAAAGCCAACAAAGAAAAGATAATGAGGGGAAATCTAGGAGTATAGAAAGGAGTTTATTTTACTTAACAAAGTAAAAGTCAAGCAAAATGAATAATCTGCCTCCAGAAACGGTTATTTAAAGGCTTTTTGTAAAGGGCTCTGGTTCCTAAAAAGACAGGAGTCACTGCATATGCCCACCCACTCCTCATTTATTTTTAAACCCTAGCTTATATGTTCCTTAGCAACAGAAGGAGCAGATGAGACCCCCCTACACACACACACACACACACACACACACACCCTCTCTCCCAAAGCCCCCTTCTTTTTGCCTGTCAAGTTTCATTCCAAAAATATCCATGTTCTTCAAAAGATATTTTTTGCCTACCTGCAAATCTCCACTCCTCCACCTCAAATGATCCCCCTTACACAAGCAGCCATGCTCCATACCCTAACTGAGCCCTTTCACTCAGACTCCATTCTGTGTGTCTTCCTGCCTTCTCTCCATAAGCTCCCACCAGACACCGTCCTCAGGTGCCCCCAGAAGGGAGGTGGTGTGGTCCTCACTGAGGAGCCCACCCTCAGTTCCTGACAAAGTTGCTCCTTTTTTACACACCCTTTGTCCATCCCACAGTAAAACAGGCAGCCCAGCTGCAGGAGTCCAGCACCAATGGCCGCCATGATGAGTGGGCAGGCCACTCACCATGACTCCAAAACAAATAAGTAACAGTAATCAAAATGGACACACTTTCCTGTTACCCAGGGACAAATATGCTCCAGATGGAAGCATCTCCTTTTCACCATCTTTTCCTCTGACTTTGAGACTGACTGGCCCGCTTTGGCTGGGGAGGGTTTATGAGTTCAAAGATCAATTGTTTAGTCTTGGGGGCAAAATAGGGTGGCAATCCCCAGATATTGGTCTGCATAAACACCACCTGAGGAGCCTGTTAAGAATTCCCACCCACAGACAGTTTGATTCTGTAAGTCTAGGGTGGTGAGCACTTTTAACCAGCCACCTGAGGTGACACTGATGCAGGAATTGGAGACTGTAAAGCTTTATTTAAAAGGAAATGATGTTCATGAAGTAGAATCCACCTCTATGTATGGATTGTAAAGCAGACGCAATGTTATTATTCTTCTATAGAAACATGCTGCATCTATGTCCATGTCTATGCTTGTGTGTGTACACACTTACATGTGCATGTGTGAGCATGCAACTCAGGAAGCAAAACCCCACACAACATACATTTTGAAAAAGGAGGCTCAGAGAATGACCCCTGCCAAGAGGCAAGCTGAAATGATTTCCCTTGCAAACTCTGGCTTTGTACTCCTACCCAATGAGGACTCTGATGAATACCAATGAGCCAGGAGCAGCCCACACTGTGCTTCACGTAATCACCACCCCCTTCCAACTCTCTGCTCCTAAATTAGGCTGAATGTAGTCCCTGTTCCCCCAAGGGCCAGACAGGCCATCATAACTAGGAAGTAGAACTGCCAGTGTCCTAGCATACATCCCTAGAGCTACCCCCTCCCCATCATCTGTCTATTTTTAGAAACCAAAGTATAAAAAGAAAGATCAATTTGGACCTGATCTGTGTGAGTAACTAAGAGAACAACTCAGGTGGGGAACTCCCTCAGCGCACAGCGAACAAAATGCATGCGAGCAACGCAGAAGCAACAACCTCACCAGGAAGGCGTTTTAGGAGTCATCAGAAGTCAACACTTAGACACAGAGCACATGCCCTAGTGACTGTGGCCTCCAGGCCAGGCGATGTCTGTGGGGATCCCAATGATTCACACACCTGCCCCCATAAATAAAACACACCCTCCCAAACCCACACACCTCTGTCATCTGCGTTTGCTTACATAACAACACATGGTGTGACAGGCTTCATACTTTATATAGTTTTTGGGAAGGGAACACAAACTCAGAAAGAGTAGGATTACAAGAATGTTTTCACTGACCCCTTTTCCAGAAACCCTCTGAGCTCCAGCAAGTGTACATCTTTGTAAACCTGTGCTTGCATATCACCTCGACCTTTAACATCAACAAGCAGTAGGGTTAGTGTCGACAACTCTCCAGACCTGTCAATATCTTTATTCTTGCCTGCTAGAGGGAGGTGGGAGAGAGACCTTAATAAATCCTAATTCCTCGTTGTTGGATTCTAATGCAATGTGGGGTTATCTTTTATCCTAATTTAGAGGCCATTGATCCCACACTGTCCTTGTGTAAAGGGCTCCCACACTCATCCTTAGGTGCAAATATGGTCCCTACTCTCACCTTCACCCCTAGCTTGCCAGCGGGCTCCCCACACTCTCCTCCAGCCAGGAGAGAAGCAAGGAGCACGCAGGCATGGAACTCCCATAACCAGTGGCGCATCTACAGACATAAACCCACTCTTCCTTCATGAGGGATTTCGAGGCAGGTCCAACTTCCGTAAGGATTTCTCTTCAGTATAGCGCTATTCTTTTCTGCCTGTCGGAGTGATCTCAGCTATCAAGTTAGTGCCAAAGGTTCATCCAGCGAAATCTGGAAGGTGGGGGAAGGGTGGTTGAAGATGACACCTGCTTAGGGGCAACTTTGACGACTTAAGGAAACTAAGCATCACTGAGTCTGCAACCCTTTCTCTCTCTCTTCTCTCTCTCTCTCACACACACACACACACAGAGAGAGAGAGAAAGAGAGAGAGAGAGAGAGAGAGAGAGAGAGAGACAGAGAGACAGAGAGACAGAGAGAAAAGGAAGAGAGAGAGAAATACACACACACACACACACACAAATTTCTGTTGTTCTGACCTTAGGGACCCAGTGCTTCTCTCCTGCCACAGGGCAAAGCCGGCGTTGCTTCCCTTCAGCCTGGAATGATAGGATGGGGAGACGACAGACATCCCCGGGAGGAGAGGGGAAAAGGGGGAAAGAGAGGCTTGGAAACAGAGAGGTGCCCAACTCCGCGGAAGCGCCCCTTGCTGGGGGAAGAGTGGGTCTCCCGCCGCGGCGCACCTGTCTCGGCTGCCGGCTCCCCGCGCCTACCTGTACGAGACCTGCTTCCGGAAAGTTAAGTTCCTCAGCTTCTCCTCCAGCGCCTCGTCCTTCTCCTTCTGGCCGGCGGCCGCGGGCTCGTCCAGG